TAGCGGAAAATTAAAAATTGGGGCAAGGATAGTTATCAAAATGCTTTTTACGAAAAATAATCAAAAAAAGACATTAAATTTGGGGTTTTTTTAATTTCATTGGATAAAAGCACCTCAAAACACTTCAAAGCACTACCAAAAAAAATTTTTTGGACATAAATAAATATTTAAAACAGTTAATATCTGAAACAGTGTTTTAAACAGAACTGAGACATTTTATAAAAAACAGGATTTTCACAAATAAACACGTAAAGGTAACTGTGGGTATTGCTGTGCGTGATGGTATTACTGTCATTTTAAAAAAATTATTATTATATATAATTTATAAATATATTTTTTTTCAAAATGATTACAAAATTTATTATAAATCTTACTTAATGGAATAGTTAATAAAAATGTGCATTTCATCAATTGATTATTTAATTATTTATATTTAAAATTGATTATGATTGAATTCCATGAAATTATCAAATATGGCTGCCGTGAACACTTATTCAAAAGCGTTAATATTTTCAATATTTTCAATAATATACACAATTCAGGGTTATTACTCAATTAAGTATGCTTCAATTATGTTTTAGAAAAATACTAATTTATCTTTATATTATTTATTTATAATTAATATTTCTTATAACTGTATTACCAGCAATAATTTCACTGCTTGTTGGCATTACTGTCTTTTTTAAATACGTTAACTGCGCAACTCGCCGCAAAGGTAACCTAATCTTTTTGTTGACGTTTGTCTAACCTCTATTATCATGGACAGCTTAAATCAATATGATGAATAGTGCCATTTTTGAACAAGCCGTATAGGCAATAGAGCCACTAACTATCCTTGCACCATCCTCCCCTAATATTATTCTAAAGTCACAATTTTTCTTCTCACTTTATTCACAAATGTATTTATTATATGTATAGAGATATAGCAATTATAATACAGTTTTTCATTACTTATAACCTCTCTATCACAACATTGCCTTGTGCGATTTGACCTGGATTTGACACATTCTCTTCTGGTATTTATGGCTCTATATATACTTACGCAGTAAACTATTTTTGGTTACCGAACGAACTACCTATAGGCCTAAGCAAAATAGCTTCGGGAAAGACGTTCGCGAACGTGAAACATGAGTTAGAAAAGGACAGAGATATATTCGTATCCTTTTCTATCTCATGCATCTCGTTCGCAAACGACTTTCGCGAATTTATTGTGCGTTGGCCTTATGTAGAGAGAATCTTCCTTCATTGCCCTCACTTTCGACGACATTCCCACCACCTAAGTTACTCCTCCTTGCGAATTCCTAAGGGTACGGTCATACTATATCATGCATGCAGAAACCAAGAAGACTACACGGAGAGAAATTTCTTCCTAATTTCTTATGAAAACTACTTACTCATTTACTTTAATAGCATAACACTTTTCTTTCTCTTACTTTACATAAAGTGACACTCGGGGTTAAGTCCCCAATTTCACAACTATCGGGTCGATCATCGACTTAAACATCCTTAAAGGAAGACATCAAGGAAAGTATTTTTTGGCATATATAATTGGATGTGAGTCCCAATTATGCAACATTGCCAGGAAAACGAAGATCCACTTTTAATACCAGAGACCTGTCAAAACACTGGTCATCGCCATCTTCCAGACACATGTTATTGTGCAGCGTCCCTATCGGTGATTTATCGAACTTTCTTTCGACCGTCGATAATTAATGAAGTTACCATCTGACGCGCATCGATTACCATTTGTGGATCTTTTGTAACTCGGGCGAGACTCACTATGTAGACGAAGCGCGATGAACGGACGCGATGACGCGGACGAAGAGCCATTTTTAATCATTCTCGTTTTGGCGTTCGCGACAAGGGCAGTAGTCTCTATTAAAATTTTTGTTTCCAAGTGCAAATTAAATTATCAATAAAAGAACATGAGACGAGGACTACTAAGAGGACGTCGGCGTATCTCCGGTGAGTCTCTCGTCCATTAAAAGTGAACTTTCGGCTGATTTGATCGCCTAAAAGGTTAAATCATAAAAACTCTGTTCTACGAAAATTTCTGTGTTTTCACAGATTCCTTCTGGACCTGTTTCAAATTATAATTAAAGTGTGGTTTAAAAATGATTTTGGTGATTTTCCTTACCCACCCGCTCTCCTTGTTAACAGCTGCGCTAGCATATTAAATTCATTAAATAAATGGTTTGGTTATTTTCCACAAAATAACCTAGCGTCTCGGGTATTAAATAAAAATAAACCAAATATAGCGGGTATTTTGCTCAAATCCACAATTAAATTAATTAATTAACATTAAAAATTTCAGTAAATTTAATTAAATAAATAAATAAAAATACACGTTATAATAGTTTGAAACATTTTTGAAATTTCATAATTTTTGGTACACGTGTAAATTACACTTTGAAACTTTTTTGAAATTTCACGACTTTTGGTACACGTGTAATTTATACTTTGAAAGTTTTTTGAAATTTCGTGAATTTTGGTACACGTGTAATGACACGGGTAATTCGTACTTAGAAACTTTGTTAAAATTTTAAGAATTGTGTTTTTTTAATTTGTTACTCTTATAATTACACGTGTATTTTATACTTTAATGCTAGTCGAATATTTTATAAACTTTAACACGTATAATTACACATGTAATTCTTACCTTAAAGCTTTTTTAAAATTTTTTGAATTTTGGTACACATGTAATTACAGTGAATAAAGATGTAAAAAGTCTTATTTGACTACCAAGTAAAAAAAATTGTGAGTAAGCGAAAAGAATTGTTGGTAACATAAGCTGAATTCGGTTTGGCAGAAAAAACAAAAAAAAATACCAAATTTGGTATACAAACGTATTTTTGCGAGTAGATTAAAGGAAAATTATAGCGAACCCGATTGGAATTGAATTTAATATAGTTATAGTACAAAAACTCGAAATTTCGGAAAAAAATGTGTCTCCCATCCACTTTTACAGTTTCGATGCTAGGATCTTCAAATTTGGTATACATACGTAATTTTGCAAGTAGATTAAAGGAAAATTATAGAAAACCCGATTGAAATTGAATTGAATATAGTTATATTCCAAAAACTCGAAATTTCTGACAAAAGTGTGTTCTCCGCGTTTTAACGTTTAAAGTTTTGGAGCAAAGAAGCTGTAACTGGGACACATATTTAATTTCACGTGGAGATTTGACGAAAAATATAGCCAACCCGTTTAAAATATTATATTTAAATATTTGAATTTAAATAATCGTGAACGGAACCCCAGGTAAGCGAGTGTAACTGGTACTTGACCAATTTTTTTACTGGGTAAAGAACCTACCTGTGTTCCTTTTATCATTGTACGCTTTGAACGTAGTGGTCTCTCCTGGTTCTAGTCTTCTTGACTGAAACATTTGGCCGGTCACACTTCAACGAAATCAGGTGAATGTTTAGTAACTTTCTAGTAATTTTCCAAAAATTTCGGTTGTAACTAGGAAGTTACTAAACGTACCCTAACCCCTAAGCAAAACTAACCTAACGGCCTGAGCGGAATACAAACGTAACCGGAATCGTAACCGCAAATGCAACCGGAAGAATGAGTTAGAGAAGGACAAACAATCTATCTATCCTTCTGTCACTCTTTCTTCCGGTTGCAATTACGATTCCGGTTACGTTTATCTATTCTGCTTAGGCTTAACTGAGATCGTAAAAATTCGTATGTAAATATTATGTTTCCAACTTAAAAGAATATGTATTATATAAATAAAATAGTCAAGATTAATATGACTCTCAAGTAAACTCTAAATTGTATCAGGTTTTTCGCTCAATTTTGATTTGAAGCAAAAAATATTGCAAATATTTAGTATAGGGTTAGTTGGGGTAAATAGGGACAAGAGGTTTTGGTGCTTTATTTACAGTTTTAAAATTAAGTTCAACGTCAATATTTTAACCTCAGATCACCTGCAAGAAGTTTTGAGTATTCCCAAGCTTTTATCTTAACAATTGGCAGCAAGATAAAAAAAGTTATCGCTCAATGCACAAAAACTTGAAAATCAAAGTCAAAATTTTTTCCAAGTTTTTTTATCCCTTTATACAGTAATATACTTGAGGAAACTTTCTTCATAAACCTTTTTTAGAAACTATGCTGTCCCCATTTACCACAAATTTTATGAAATTTTCTAAATTTTGGGGTAAATGGGGACGCAGTCAGTTTCATGCGTTTAAAGCTTATCTAAATTTTTTTCTAGCTGCATAAAAGTAATCCTGGGAATGTAAATAACAACTTAAAAAAAATAAACCCGCGACTATTACCTTTGAAAGGAAGAAACTTACGTAATTTGTGAAAAATAGCGATTTTGTCCCCATTTACCCCAACTGAACCTACTATACTAAAAAGAAGATAAGTACTATTAAATTATTCATTATTAGTTGATTTATCGAAGATATATGTTAAATTAAACTTAAATTGATAATTAATTAATTTGCACATTCATTACTATTATTATAATTAATTATGATAATAATTATTTTATATATATATACATATATATATATATGGGGATTGAATAATTATTTCAATAATAATTTTCTGCTTCATACCTTGTAAATATATATTTTTGCATTGAATAACGTTAATAAATGTTGTTTCTTTAAGTAGTTTTTCAGAAAATTAAAGTGTCCTACTGTTTAAACTGTCTCACTGTTTGTCACTCTATATAAATATTAATTACTATTATTAAAGTTCAATTTAATATAATTCTTCCACAAATCAACTAAATAATTAATAATTTAGCAGTATTTATCTTTTTTTAACATACTGCACTATATACTTAGATGCAATATATAGTAGATTGCAAAATTAAAAATTGTTTTATTTCAAAAAAATAATTATTTTAATATTATATTTGTAATGTACAGGTTAATATAATTAAAACGATATATAATTTTTGGGTAGATATTAATTTAATTCAAGTTAATTTATTATAAGAAATACTTTATTATGATCTCAAACAAAACTCTCTCGTCTAGGTGCAAGACCGAACTAACTTCAACGCTCACAAAGCGTAGCGGTTGAATATGGTACTAATTTGAATCACGCTGAATGTATTTAACCAGAATACATTGAAATCACACATATATTCTGACACTCCCTCTCATTCAAGTGATTGTAATAAAAATGTAAAAATAATGTACACTTTTCGTTTAATCTTTATAGTATCAAACTTTAACAAACTCACAAATCTTAAAAACTAATATTTGCACTCAATAATATTTAAAAGTAACATCACAGTTCGTGGTTAGTAATAAAAATGGTCTTCAGACTTTACTCCCATGACTCTGTCATTTGCTCAAACTCTTCAGCATCTGAAATACACATAATTAGGAATTATTTTTCTGACATGTTAAAAATGTAATAAGTTAGTCGTTCATGTACAAGGTGGGTCAAAGCTTTGGTAAACACATCTGACAACTGGTCTTTAGAAGATACTCACTCAATTTTAACATAATTTTTATCAAAGCACTCTTTAACATAGTGTTCTCTTCTAACTACCATATGCCTCAATTTATTGTTTCCTCCGGTCTTGGCGCAGCTAAATTGTCACAATACAAGACCATTGGGTAAAGATTTCCATTTAACACAAACTGAATTGAATTATGCATAGATATTAATTCTTGGCTCGCTTCGCTCATAGCGACGTACTCAGCCTGACACGTAGTCAAGGCAACACTATTTTGTTTGTGAGTTTTCCACGCTATGGAATCCCCAAACAAGCGAATCAGATAGCCACAAGTAGTGTGAGAGTTTTTACAATCAGACAGGCTAGCGTCTGAATATGCAATCAGATCATTTGCTTCTGATCTATAAGTGAGTTTGTAGTATATAGTGGGTGTTTTCGACGTCGTCTGTCGTACCGCTCAGTTGCCACAAAAAGGTGCTCAACATATTTATTTGAAGCTATTTAGTTTTAATGATTTTGATTGGTTGAAGCATTGCTGTCAAATATTGCATGTGAAACACGATATAGTTTTTCTTGTTTTATAACAGAATAGGTTCGTTTGTTCAGCTGTTTGTCGGAACCTGGTTTTGTTTACATATTTTTTTATCGAAATTAATCGAAAATAGCGGTGAGGCTCTTGGCTCTTACCCTCGCTGACCGATCTGAACATAGCGATTAAAAAATGGACGAAAACGTGAATCAAAATTTAATTAATCCAGCAGTACTTATGGGTGTTGTTGATATTTTAAATGATGATGATCAAGATGAAGCAATTAGAATTTTAGTGCAAAATGAAGTAAGGGAGCATCATCCGAAAGTAGCTAATTATTTTGAGGAAGAAATTCCTTCTTACGCAGTATCAGGTATATAAATATATATGAATATATTTGTCATTTTTTAAATCTTAATTACTTTAATTTTATATATTTATTGTAAATTTTTAGATTTTTTTACCACCATATTTATGTAACAAAAGTAAATTTTAGAAATTGAAAAGAAATTGCAATTTTTATCTGATCTGGAAAAATGTAAACATAATTTTAAAAAATCATTGATAACAAAATATTTTGATTCAAAATAATTTATTGTAAAGTTGTATGAAATTAAGTCTTTTAAATTTACCTAAAATTAATATTTACTTAATTTTTGTTTACGCGTTAAAATCTATTTTGTAGTTTTGATAAGTTAATAGAAAAATGTTATAAACAAAATTTTAGAAATTAAACAATTTCCTTTTTAATGTTCTTGTGCTTATTTATAGAAAGTTATTTTATTGATATTTCTATTTTATTATTATTGTTTCTCATAATTAAAGAATAATTTTTCCTCTTAAAAATGCAAGTTGACAAAGTTGAATAAATTTTTTAATTTGAAACAATTTTTTTGTAATAAAATTCGTCTAACGAAATAAATAATAACATGAAATTGTATAGACTTTTCAAAGAAATTTTATAAAATAAATTTGTTTGAATTTTCAAAATTATTTTTCTAGAAAAAAAATTATTTCAAATTTTTTAATTTTTTTGGTTTAAGAATTACACTGTACAATAATGTAAACTGATACTATTTTATATTATTTTACAGACTTCAAAAGTCATTTTCGAATGACACCAACAACTTTTGCTACATTAGTGGATAATATCGCTCCATTATTAATTCCGAGAAATGATGGACCCAATGTGTTAAGTCCAGAAAAACAAGTTTGTATTGCTCTGTGAAATTTCTGCAATCAAGATGTTTATAGGTATGTTTCTACAATAAAATTTTATAAACATTATTAAAATAGTGTCTTAATTCAGTCAATATAATAATTATATTATGATGTGTTATTTGCTGCGAATGCAGGGTTTAAGAAGTAATTGTTTAATACTTATTTAATGTTGTTATAATCATTTTCACAATGAGTGGATGATAAATTTGTATTATTATTATTATTTTCCTCCTCAAATCAACAGGAGCTGGATGAGGTTTTGAAATTAATTTAACCTCAGCTAATCGGTCGTTTATCGATTGCATGATTTGTATAGTATTTTGTAAGTGATATTGTTTAAATCAATTTTTTTGCTGAATCATTTTTTAGCAAAAAATTTGCTTTATTGATTATTTCATTTAGGATAGATGTGACCATTTCTAAAAAAAATACCTATCGACAAAAAAATCAACTTCTTTATGACGGTTTTTTATAGTTTTATGTCCTAAAAATGCGAAGAAACTATTTTCGAATATATATATTTTTTTATTTATTTACGTTAAGTATTAAAATATAATTAATTTAATATAATATATAATATAATATAATATAATATAATATAATATAATATAATATAATATAATATAATATAATATAATATAATATAATATAATATAATATAATATAATATAATATAATATAATATAATATAATATAATATAATATAATATAATATAATATAATATAATATAATATAATATAATATAATATAATATAATTAATTATAAATTAAAAGTAAAAATAATAAAATTATAAATAAATTTTATTATAATTTTTTAAACAAATTATAATTCTTTTTTCTATTTACAAAAAATTATCTACAAATTAATGCCAGTAACTTTTCAATGTTAAATAAGCTGTATTCCTTTCAGATCAATCGCTGATTATTTCGGGGTCTCCATCAACACATCTTGGAGATGTACTATAAAAGTAGCCTGTGTTTTAAGAGCATTTGAACCTTCGTGACGTCACAAATCATGGCGCATGACACGCAAACTTCTCAGGTATGTGAAAAGCACAATTTTGAATGTTTTTTAAAAAAACCTTCTGGAAAATTTTCAGAATAACATAGACTCTGTCTGTTATGTGCGGGAAATTCAAAATTTTGCGTTTAAAACGTTTTTTAAACAAAGTTAAGGTCACAAATCATGGCGCATGACACGCAAACTTCTCAGGTATGTAAAAAACACAATTTTGAATATTTTTTAAAAAAACCTTTTGGAAAATGTTCAGAATAACATAGACTCTGTCTGTTATGTGCAAAAAATTCAAAATTTTGCGTATAAAACGTTTTTTAAACAATGCCTACATATAAGCAATCCGTGTATTTTTCCTTACTTGTGACAACCAACTTAAACATTGTTTAAAAAACGTTTTATACGCAAAATTTTGAATTTTTTGCACATAACAGACAGAGTCTATGTTATTCTGAACATTTTCCAAAAGGTTTTTTTAAAAAATATTCAAAATTGTGTTTTTCACATACCTGAGAAGTTTGCGTGTCATGCGCCATGATTTGTGACCTTAACATTGTTTAAAAAACGTTTTAAACGCAAAATTTTGAATTTTCCGCACATAACAGACAGAGTCTATGTTATTCTGAAAATTTTCCAGAAGGTTTTTTTAAAAAACATTCAAAATTGTGCTTTTCACATACCTGAGAAGTTTGCGTGTCATGCGCCATGATTTGTGACGTCACGAAGGTTCAAATGCTCTTAAATGAATTACAATGAGTTACAAAAAATAAAAAAGTAAAATTACTTTGAATCAGACCTACCTCAACTTGTTCGTCCTGAAAAACTAAAAAAAATGGTGTATATTAAATTGCTGAAACACCCCCAAAATTTGATTTTAGAGCCAAAAAACCGATTTTTTGTAGTTTATGTATAAAATATCTTGTAACTTGGTCATTTTTGGTCCGATTTTAACGTTTTTTTCATTTTAAAGCGGAAAATCCGCACTTTCCACTAGTGGTAGGTGTTTTTTGATATAATTAAAAATTAAGACATAAAATTTAAAAAAAGATCGAAAATTGTAATTTTTAAAGGAATTTTTTAACTTTAACACCAATTTTTGGCCAAAAATAGTATTTGAACTTTTTTTTGTTAATCATACGTTTAAAGTGTATTTAATTCTGCGTCGAATGCGATGTTTTCGAAGAGAATTCGTTAAAAATTGACTAAGTTATTCAATTTTTTGTTTTCGCAGTCATATTATTAAATTTATGCCTGATGCAGTATTTTCTTTTTTTCTGCCATTAGTTGTTACTGTTGCTTTGTTATTAATTTCTAACAACTTTTTTTGTGTTTTAGCAATACAGAGAAATATTTTTTTAATTTAAATATTAAGCATTAACGCTAAAACACAAGAAGATAAAATCTTAAAATTTAAATATTACACATTAATGATTAATTATTTTTCATAGTTTTGTTAAAACAACTTTTTTCCTAAAATTATATTACATACAATTTTTTTTAAAAAGCAATGCATTGTTTTATTTGCATTTTTCACAAGTTGCCTATTAGGCGTATAATGTTGAAGCAAATGCAAATGACATTTGTGACAGATCGTGCTTTGGTTACTGGTTACTCTTTGACTCGGGTTATAGTTTGAATTTATTAAATTTCATTAGTTTATTGGAATTGTTTTAATATACATGTAGTTTTTTCATAAAATTTGGTGCCCCTTGTTGATTTGAAGAAGACAAAATGTGTGATAAACGTAATAGTTTTTGTTATATATGTGGTTCTTTTGTGGACAGTAGCCATCGGTACAAATTCGAAAATAGCAAAGTTGCCGTTGAAGAATATAATAAATTATTTAAGACTTCCTATGACGGCAGTTCATGGTATGAGCCGGAGTACATCTGTCAACTTTACTTAACAATACTTAAAATAGGAAAATCCAAAAGTAACGAAAAGCACACTTCACTGCCTTTCTCGGTTCCAATGACATGGCATTATCAAGTTTATCATAAATCGGATGACTGTTACTTTTGTCAAACAAATATTGTAGGCCATCAATATAAAACTCGTAAGTTGATAAAATACGCCGATGTTTTGACTGTCACAAAACCAGTACCTCTCGAGTCTGCTAAGACTGAAAAAGCAGAAAAAGCGGCATCGCCTGATGATCTTGATTACAAGATAAATAATCTAAAGATTTATGATGATCCAGATTATGTTCTACCCTCATGTTCAGAGGAACCACATTTTGTTTCAAATCTAGATTTTATCGATCTTTTACGCGATCTAAAATTATTTGGAAGACAGTCTGAAGTCCTTGGTTCTAGATTAAAACAATGGAATCTTGTTGAAAGAGATTTTAAAGTTACTGCCTGCAGAAATAATGATAAAAATATGTTTAAAGAAGTTTTTAAAACTGACAATGAATGTAGGAACCTTGTGTATTGTTCGAACATTCCAGAGTTGTTTTCAATTTTAAATCACGATTACGTACCAGAGGACTGGCGACTATTTATTGATGGATCCTGCAAAAGTAAAAATTTTTTCTATAAAATAAAGTTCAAATAAATTGCTTTCATGAATTAGATAGAATACATACTTCTTTTTCTGTAGGTTTGAAGGCTGTACTGTTGCATAATGAAAATAAATTTCCATCAGTTCCATTAGCGTACGCAACTGATTTGAAGGAAACATATGGATCATTGGCAAAAATTCTTCAATGCATCAATTATGATGCTCATGAATGGCAAATTGTCAGTGATTTGAAGGTTTTAACAATTTTGTTAGGGATGCAAGGTGGATATACGAAATACCCTTGCTATTTCTGTGAATGGGACAGTTGCGCCCCCAACAAGTATGAACGAAAAGAATGGCCATCACGTAAAATGTTTCAACTTGGAAAAAAAATGTTTTGAACATTCCTCTAGTGCGACCAGAAAATATTATTTTACCACCCTTACATTTGAAACTTGGCTACATGAAGCAATTTGTTAAAGCTTTAAACCCGAATAGCGAAGCATTTCAACATCTTCAGAAAGTATTTCCCAAATTAAGTGACGCTATAATTAAAGCAGGTACGGCAGATTAGGTTGTAAAAAAATTTTTTTTTAATATACATTAATCACGATATTAACCGAATTTGTAGTCTTCGTTGATTTAATACTAAATAAGTATATACATAGTAATATTTTTAACTTATTTTCTCGTGGCTTAAGTGTATTCGTTGGTCCTCAAATTCAAAAAATTATGCGTGACAAAGAGTTTTCTGACAAATTAAATGATGTGGAAAGAAGAGCCTGGAATAGTTTTATTTCATTATGTGATAATTTTCTTGGGAACAATAGGAGTGACGACTATGTTAATGTTGTCGAAGAGTTTTTGACATCATATGCTGAAATGGGATGCAATATGTCAATTAAAGTCCACTTTTTACACTCCCATTTGGATTTCTTTCCCGAAAACCTTGGTCAGTTCAGTGACGAACAAGGAGAAAGATTCCATCAAGAAATTCTGCTTATTGAAAAGCGCTTTCAAGGAAAAAATTCTGTGAATATGATTTCAGAATATTGTTGGTCTCTCAAACGAGACACTGATGATTCATTGTACAGAAGAAGTCGAAAAAATAAGCATTTTTAAATCGAAATTGTAATTTTTTTATGATTAAAATATTGAGTTCAAAATTCATTAAATTGTTAAACATTATAAATGTTTCAGAATATATCAAAACATTGTTATAAGTAATTCCATTTACTTCATTTACTCTATTTTAAATTTTTTATTTTAAACAAAAAAATAATAATGCAACGATTTTACCAGTCCTTGTCAGAAATACTTCATATTTAAATTACAATTCATGAACTTCAATTTTAAAGAAGTAAAAAGTTGTCAGAAATGAATAACAAAGCAACAGGAACAACTAAAGTAAAAAAGAAAGAAAATACTGACTTAAGTATAAATTTAATAATATGACTGTGAAAGCAAAAAATTGAATAACACAGTCAATTTTTAACGAATTCTCTTCGAAAACATCGCATTCGACGCAGAATTAAATACACTTTAAACGTATGATTAACAAAAAAAAGTTCAAATACTATTTTGGGTCAAAAATTGGTGTTAAAGTTAAAAAATTCCTTTAAAAATTACAATTTTCGATCTTTTTTAAATTTTATGTCTTAATTTTTAATTATAACAAAAAACACCTACCAGTAGTGGAAAGTGCGGATTTTCAGCTTTAAAATGAAAAAAAAATCATTGAAATCGGACCAAAAATGACCAAGTTACAAGGATATTTTATACATAAACTACAAAAAATCGGTTTTTTGGCTCTAAAATGAAATTTTGGGGGTGTTTCAACAATTTAATATATACCATTTTTTTCAGTTTTTCAAGACGAACAAGTTGTGGTAGGTCTGATTCGAAGTAATTTTTCACTGTCGCACAGTGTTATCTGCTGATTTATATAAGGTGGCCTCAACGTGAAGAATTGCTACGAATTGAACAAGCTTTTAGAGAGATGGCGGGATTTTGAAATGTAGTTGGTGCTGTTGATGGGACTCATATACAGATATCCGCACTGCTGTCAGTTATGTAAACCGCAAAAATTTTTATTCACTGAATGTGCAAGCAATATGCGATTGCGACCTAAAATTTATGGATGTATTTGCCGGAGTTTGCGGAAGCGTACACGACGCACGTCTTTGGACAATGAGCGACATCAGTGCTGCTATGGCAGAAGATCTTTTACGGTTTTGCCCAGAAGAATTTCACATTATTGGTGATAAGGCATATGACATTGAATACTATTTTATGGTTCCATATAAAGATAATGGACATTTAACACCTACCCAAGTGCATTTCAATTACATTCATTCGAAAACACGAATGGTTATAGAACGTGCGTTCGCCTTATTAAAAGGTCGTTTTCGTCGACTGAAATATGTTTTTGCAGAAAATTAGGTATGGAGCTCTCATAATTATGGCTTGTTGTGTGCTTCACAATATATGCCTTGATTTAGATGATGAGATGAATGAAGAAATATTGACAGAAGAAGATTTTGTAAACGATGACATTGAAGAGTTTCGTGCTTTAAACAGACGTAATGATCCTGCCACTAGACGTAAAAGGGATGCTATTGCGGAAATGCTCATGCAAGTTCATGAAAGAAGAAAATTAAATAATTTTGAATTTACAGTTTTACGTATAATATAATTATTTATTTATCTACGGTTTTTTGTAAGGCGATGTGTTTTTACTGAAATTACAATAATTTGTTTTTAAGATAAAATTAGCATTATGACTTTTCTTTTGCGTTACAAATTCTTATAATTATACAACTGCCGTGCAAAGTAAAATGACACATAAGTGACCTTCCGGTCGAAAGGAGAAAATCAAGAAAAACCGTTTGATCTTGTACCTTAGCATAGAACAAAAATTTAATTAATGTAAGATTACTTTTCAGGTAAAATCGGTATGCTGATTCATATTTTGCAAAAAAAATCAATTTTTTAAAACAATCTCTATAATAAGGTATTAAATGAGGAAAAATTATTTTTATTTTTTGCTTATGATACAGATAGTTATGGAATTTGAGATAATAGGTAGTACAAAATAATAATATATGATTTTTTCATGTTTTTATTTTTTTTATTTAAATCTTGGCCTATGATAATTTTGTGAATCCAATTGCAATAGACAATGTAACAGTTGACAGTTTTAACAGTTCAATATTACTAAAATGTTATTTTAAATAAAAATTGCAGTAAAAGGGTTTCCACAGATGCTGAATTTTATTGATATACTTTTTATTAAAAAGTTTTATGGATTGAACATATATTTACTGTGAAAACATATTAACAACGTTATTAAAAATAAATTGAATTTAGAATATATAAAAATTGTTGTTTGGGAAATGAAATAATTTAAGGAAATTACTTTTTAAAGAAATTTCAGTGACTACTCTTCTTTCTATTCGTATAAAATATTTATTGAACGCAATTGTATGTTGAATTTAAAGAATAACATAGTAGAATATTTCAAGAGTGGTAAGTCAAGGTTATCAAGCACAAATTATAATATGTTTTTTTAGAAAAAGAAAAAAAATGTAAATGAAAACAACACTTTCCAGTTATTAAGTTTTACTAGTACAATTTGTTCAGACAGACATACGTATTATCGAAAAAAATAAGAAAACTTGTGTCGCTCTAAGTTCACATTGATTGTTTTTAAACACAAATTGTAGAAAAATATATATTTCGAAAAATTTTCGCTTCACTTGCCACCATTCACTTTATGTACTTATTTTTTCTCTTATACACGAAAACTGTATTTTCTTTAATGTGCGCTATACCGTTTAGAATTGAGTAAACACTAGTTTTTTGGTGAATGAAAAACATCATAACACGTAAAATTCATAAAAAACCTAAATTATTTCTATTTATTTACAAAAAGACGATCAAATTGTCATAAGAGAAATGACTTATAGAAGTGATTTGGCCAATATTTCATTTAAATATTTTTAAAAAATACTCCTTCTTAAAAATTGAATCACAATTTCATTAATCTAGCAGATCTTATGGGTGTTGTTGATATTTTAAGTGATGATGATAACGATTAAGCAATTAGAATTTTAGTGCAAAATAAAGTAAGGGAGCATCATCCGAAAGTAGCTAATTATTTTGAGGAAGTAATTCCCTCTTACTCAGTATCAGGTATATAAATAAATATGAATAATATGTTGGCTAAATAACTTATGTAAGGGATTATTCTTCTTACAATGTAAGTATCTGTTAGTAAATAAATTTAAAAAAAAATTTTTTTGTTATAAATTTTAAAGAAACATGAAAAATTTCGAAAAAAAACATAATACTTAAGTATTATGATGTTTTCATTCAACAAAAATATGTGTCCTCTCAATTGTTGATGGTAGTGTATTGACTTTTAATTTCTCGAAATAAATTTTGTTACATTTTTTAAATATATTTAATTTTTTAAAATTTAATGTCTTGTTGACTTCAACGAAAAACTATTGATAATAGGGAATTTGCATTAAAAATAAATACGGTTTTTTTATATATAAAACAAAAGTTAATGCGATTTCGAAAGTATTAAAAAAATTTTTTTACAATTTTCATGCATAAATAACATTAAAAAATTAATTTAAACTTTAACATTATTTGAAATTTTCTCAACTGAGAGCAAACGATTTTAATTGGCTCTCAGATTGGTGACGTCACGGGCATAAATGCAGAAGTGTATGCTGTGTATATTCATACGTAATATTTTTGTAATCGGCTCGCAATAATTATTGAATACATTGTTTTGATTAAAAATGGTAAATAAATTAGATCCCGGTTTTGAAAAAGCTGATACCACTAATTTGCCAAAAATAAATGTGTTTATGGTATATGAATATATTACAAATAATGAGCGATATAATGCACCTGAGGTTCGTGGAGTGAAAGCAACATTGTAAGTAAATATAAATGTTTGTACTAATAAAATTATTTAATTATTAACCGACGGAATAGCTCAGTTGGTTGGTGCTCCAGGCTTTGCGGGTTGAGCGAACGAGGTTCGCGCCCCCCGTCAGCCGGGGATTTTTCCGACACGTGAGCTATTCTGAGCGGGAGGTTTGACGCCTAGGTGCGACGGTATGCATTGTCGATTAATTGTCCGATGTATACCGCCGAAACTAGACAGTCGATAAACCGGTTGTACTCAGAAGAGGTTTTTCTACAGTTTCCCTCTTCTCTGGCGAGAAAACCCAATGACGGGTGGTTCAGGCAAAATGCGAGTACTCCTATCTTCGAAAGTCGCACTGTAGGCGCATTAGGTTAAAAAAATTTGCAAAAAAATTTGTAGAATGGTTATGCTTTATCCATAAAAAGTATTTCTCGGGGACTCTTGTCGAGTGCGTAATATGCCAATAGGGCAGGAGTATAAATGAAAAAAAAAAAAAAAAATTATTTAATTAAATAATTAATAATTAACAACTTATATATAGTTGATTACTATTTATGTTTATATTATTGTAGATCTTCAAGAGAGAATTACGGAGACTCTGCAATAGGTTATGTTTGCGTAAAACGTGTAGGGTCAATATGCACATTGAAAGGCAGAATTTGTCCTGTACACCGAGTAAGAAGTAAAAATTACACGGTAACGTTAACTGTAGAAGAAGTTAACGAACAAGTTAAAAAAGTAGAATATCTTGATTGCGCTGCGTCATTGGGTGGATGTAAACAAGGAATTGCTTTTTTAATGTGGGCAAACTGAAGATATGAATCGCCATCTCCAACAGAAGTGGAATGTTACTGGAGGAAATCAGCCTTAGCCAAAGTCGGAGATACACACAAATTTGTTTTGACTAGTGAATTGAAAAAAAAATCGAACGATTCAGTTGAAGATTTCGGTGATAATTCGACGTTTTTAAACAAAGTAATTGAACAAGCTGCAGCCAAACAGTTAGATAGCCAATTATCAAGACATGCATTTGATTTAGAAGAGAGAAAAGTTCATGCCTTGTCCATACATCAACTTATATTTAATTTAATTTAGTAGGTAAATGATGTTAACCAGTATTTGGCCTAATGGCTTAATTATATTTGGTTCTTAAAATCGTATGACGCGTTTCGATGCAGTATACTGCATCCTCATCAGATCTACAAAGATTATAATTATAAATTTACAGAAATTATAAGATTGATAAATGTTTATAGATTGACAATTGACAGATTTTTCAGAAAAATAAAGTTTTTTACATACCATATATTTATATTGATAAAAAAGTTAACATGCTTGTATTGTCGGTTTTAAGGTTATGTTTTTTATAAAAAAGTCAAAAAAATATTCAAGCATGATGTGCATATGTTTTAAATAAATTTAAAATTTAAAATGAGTCTCCTGCAAATAATACTCACATTAATATTCATTTGTAAGGTGAAAATCAAGTTATTTAGTTATAAATTATAAATAATTTTTATGCTCATAAAAAATACTTACTCTCATAATTAAGATTTTACATAAGGAGATTGATTTAAGACTTTTTTTAATATTTTAATTATTTTCAAAAAAAATGTTAATTAATAATTGTTAAAAAATATAATTAAAAAAATTTAAATTTGAAAGCATGTGTTTCCCATGAGGGAGACATTATAGAGACTGACATGAATAAAGTGAACCTAGCTACAAGGTATTACAAGGTTCGTATGAAAAGGTTATGTGAGAGATGTATAAAGAATGAAAAATATGAATATCGTACACGAGACTCATCTTTCACAAACAAGGGAAGAACCATTGAACAGTTATATTCAAAAAGGCCCAAAAAACACAGGATTATCAAATAATTAAATTCAAATAAACGTCACTCAAGTCATCGGTATCGGTTTTCAAATTAATCGAATTTTTATGTTTTAGGATATAGTACATCTCCAAAATTAATCTTTTTTTATAATTATTTTCAATTCGTAAAATATTAACACTGTCTGATGAAAAATCAAAATTATGGTTTAAATTTGTGGAATGTTTGCATAGGGCACTTTTTTCACTTTTTATAGATACATCATATTTGTGATTATAAACTCTTCTTTTAAGATATCTACTAGTTTGTCCAATGTACGTCGCATTGCAATCTTTACAATCAATTTTGTAAACAGAATTTATCTTATCTAATTTAGGTACTTCATCTTTAGGTAATTTAAAAATAGTATTGTTGAATTTATTCACTGATCTGAAAACTAATCCAATGTTATATTTTTCAAAGATTCTCTTGATTGAATGTGAAAAAGTGAAAATTTTATCAAGAGATTTTAATAAATGTAACTTCTAAATCAAAAAATATTTTGAAAGATAGTTGGGATTTTTTTAGTAAAGTTAATCATACTATGGTTCCAGAAAGTTATACAATAATATCTTTGGACGTAAAATCTATGTTCACTAATATTAACTGTGATTTAATTTATGATATTATAAAATCTGAATGGTCTACTTATCAGCAATATACAAAGCTATCTTGTGATGATTTTCTTAATGGTTTGAAATTGTGTCTTGATAATTCTTATCTTAAATTTCAAGGAAAATTTTTTAAACAGAAATTTGGGGTACCTATGGGTAGTCCAATTTCGTCAGTTGTTTCAGACATTTTGATGCAGTCTATTGAAACAAAAATCTTAAACGAAGTTGACTACCAGATAATCTTTTACTTTCGTTATGTCGATGACACAATATGCTGTCTTCCGATCAATAAAGTACAAGATTTTTTTAATAGATTTAACACGGCAGATGAACATTTAAAATTCACACTTGAGGAACCGGCCTCTAGACATATTAATTTTTTGGATGTATCAATAGATTTTTCTGGTGAATATATTGAGACTAATTGGTTTAGAAAAGAAACCTGGTCTGGAAGCTATCTTAACTTTGATTCTCATCATAATATTAATGTAAAAATAGGAATAGTCTATTCCTTAATTGATAAAGCAGTTAAACTATCTGAACCAAAATTCCATTCTGAAAATATAGATTTAGTTTACAATACACTAATGAAAAATGGTTATCCATCAGTTTTTTTAAATAAATATATTAATATAAGATTAAATAGTTACAACCCTTCTAATAACAATAATATTACAAATAAATCAAACAAGGATTATACGAGAATTGTCTCTATTCCTTACATTGAAACTTTTTCACATTCAATCAAGAGAATCTTTGAAAAATATAACATTGGATTAGTTTTCAGATCAGTGAATAAATTCAACAATACTATTTTTAAATTACCTAAAGATGAAGTACCTAAATTAGATAAGATAAATTCTGTTTACAAAATTGATTGTAAAGATTGCAATGCGACGTACATTGGACAAACTAGTAGATATCTTAAAAGAAGAGTTTATAATCACAAATATGATGTATCTATAAAAAGTGAAAAAAGTGCCCTATGCAAACATTCCACAAATTTAAACCATAATTTTGATTTTTCATCAGACAGTGTTAATATTTTACGAATTGAAAATAATTATAAAAAAAGATTAATTTTGGAGATGTACTATATCCTAAAACATAAAAATTCGATTAATTTGAAAACCGATACCGATGACTTGAGTGACGTTTATTTGAATTTAATTATTTGATAATCCTGTGTTTTTTGGGCCTTTTTGAATATAACTGTTCAATGGTTCTTCCCTTGTTTGTGAAAGATGAGTCTCGTGTACGATATTCATATTTTTCATTCTTTATACATCTCTCACATAACCTTTTCATACGAACCTTGTAATACCTTGTAGCTAGGTTCACTTTATTCATGTCAGTCTCTATAATGTCTCCCTCATGGGAAACACATGCTTTCAAATTTAAATTTTTTTAATTATATTTTTTAACAATTATTAATTAACATTTTTTTTGAAAATAATTAAAATATTAAAAAAAGTCTTAAATCAATCTCCTTATGTAAAATCTTAATTATGAGAGTAAGTATTTTTTATGAGCATAAAAATTATTTATAATTTATAACTAAATAACTTGATTTTCACCTTACAAATGAATATTAATGTGAGTATTATTTGCAGGAGACTCATTTTAAATTTTAAATTTATTTAAAACATATGCACATCATGCTTGAATATTTTTTTGACTTTTTTATAAAAAACATAACCTTAAAACCGACAATACAAGCATGTTAACTTTTTTATCAATATAAATATATGGTATGTAAAAAACTTTATTTTTCTGAAAAATCTGTCAATTGTCAATCTATAAACATTTATCAATCTTATAATTTCTGTAAATTTATAATTATAATCTTTGTAGATCTGATGAGGATGCAGTATACTGTATCGAAACGCGTCATACGATTTTAAGAACCAAATATAATTAAGCCATTAGGCCAAATACTGGTTAACATCATTTACCTACTAAATTAAATTATATGGCTTTTCAAAATTATTAAACTTATATTTAATTTCATACAATCCGATGAAAAAATTTCAGTTGATAATTTTTTAAATTTTTCAATGCAAAAATTCTCGCAAGATTTATGTCTTCAGGCTGAACAACAAACTAGGAGTCAATCAAATGATATTCTGTGGCACGAACTGAGATTCGGAAGGGTTACTGCATCTCATGTTTTTGAAGCTAGTCGATGTCGCACACCAAATGGTAGTTTAGTAAATCGAATCATAGGGGCAGCAAAAGTTTATAACAGTGTTGATATGCAACGCGGCAAAAACTTGGAAGAAGAAGTCATAAGTGAGATTGAGAAAATATTAAAACTATCAATAAATAAGTGCGGTATGTTTCTAATTCCATCATTACCTATGATAGGTGCTTCACCAGACGGAATAAGTTCAGAATTTGTGTTGGAAGTTAAATGTCCAAGCTCTGAAAAAACTGTAGAAAATTATTTAAAAAATGGTCAACTCAGTCAAAAGTGCAAAGCTCAAATTAATTTACAAATGATGGCTACTGACAAGAAGAAAGGACTTTTTTGTGTTGCAAATCCGAATTTTGAAAGAAATAAAAAATTTCAATTTGTGTGGGTGAAATATGATCAAAATTTCACTAGTCAAATAGTAAAAGATTCTATGGATTTCTGGAAAAAAAATATTTTTCCTGTTTTATTAAACTCGATAAAAAGATGAAAATGTATAATAATTATTATCTTTTTAAAATAAGATTTATTTTATTTGGGACTATTAATAAATAAATGAGTATTTTTTGATAAATATATTATTTTATTATTTTCCATCGATAGAATTTTAAATACAATATTTAATAAGTAAAAAATTTATAAATATATTAATCATAAATAATAAACAAATACTTATTATATATTTTATTACTACTGTTTGATTTGTACATGAACTTCATTTGTTAGCAAACATTTATTTTCTTATTATAGGTTTTTGTAAATTAATCAAACCTCCAACAATAGTTACAATACTATCTAACTTCACCACTGTATTTAGATCAAGGCAAGAATGAGGTTTTAATGTTTCAAATTCTCGAACCCTTCGAATGACTCTTTCGATATGAATCCTTATACTTGCAATGCTTTTTGTTTTTAAAACTTCTGCTTTTGTCGATTTTGAAGTAGTCGAAACTGACGGCGGACGAAGTAATTTACATTTTCGTTTATTTAAAACTGACTGAATGTGTTTGAAACCTCGATCAGCTAAAACTCCACATCCAGCAGGGAGAATATTTATTAATTTGCTCTCTTCAAACAACAAGGTGTCGCTTATCCTTCCTCCGTACCCTTAGGATGTAAAAGTAATAAATCCATCCGGAGAGCATACTATCAAATACTTCATTGTGTTGCATTTCTTATAATCTGACCACGTTAGCGCCTGATGAACTGGATTTGAAGGTTTTTCAATCTCTATTTCAAAAGCATCAATAATAGCACATGCATTACTGTAATTAGCTCGAAATGCAATAGGTAAATTTTTTTTATACTTTTTTCATCAGGAAAGTATACAAGCGTTTTTAAATAGTGAGCTAATCGATCTACAGTTTTATCAAAAATTCGGCTTGCCTGCGAAGTTGAGTAACCATACTGATCACCCA